TTCATTTGCTGCTCCTATTAAATACTTGCTATAATCATGAACTGGAACCTAGGAACTTTATAATGTCATATCTGTGTGTTTTAAATTGGGTTCTAGACTCTGCAAAGTACCCATTGTGTAGCTCTTATATCTTCATCACTGTGATGCTTCCTTTGAATGCATAATATAGACATACATAATATATACATATTGGTGGTTCAAGCCAACCATCCTAAAATATTCAGATTCACAATGCATGTAAAGTATGTGTCCAGTTATGGCCTATCCAGAATGTAGTCCAGCCTTACATGATATTAAATGAGTACAATAAGTACTTTAAAGCCATGGTTGCATGTGGAACTAGATACATACCAGTGATTGTTGAAGACAATTTGGAAATAATGTTGAATAACACTGAGATGAATAAAATACAACCATGTTAAATACTTGAATAAATATCCACAAATTCAATACAGCAGCATTGAAAATAGGTTGGTTACAATACAGTATCAGTAATGATGCAAAATGCTCTAAAATGCATTGCTGTTATTCAGTAATATGGTATATTTAATATAAAAAAATAGGATCTGTTTTTTTTCAGCATTCTTTGGTTTTTGTCCAGTAACAATAAGAAGGGTGTTCCCTGCTTAGATAAATTATGTCAACTACCATGCATTTACAAACAAGTAAAGTTGAAGTCAGCTCTGAACATGTAACTCCTTGAGCCAGTTGATTTAAATTAAATTTATAATGACCTTCATTAAATGTTCCTTTGTTAACTTTCAATTAAGGGTGATTTATGTACACTTATTAAATGACTTGTAGGAACCACTTCCAGTTGTGTGTATCTGGGAGTCATTTGATGGTTTTCAAACAGTAACATTTAGAAATGAGTCACACAATGATGCAGTAAAATGTCTCGATTAACTCTGGCTGAGAAAGGATCAATAAAGTAAAGATTACTGCACATTATACTATAATACAGTGTGTTGCAAAAGTATTCACCCTTTCACAAATAATGTACCATTTTGTTGAATTATAAATCAACATTTTAAAGTGATTTTTTTTTTAACCAAAACTTGAATGCTTGAACAATTATCACTTTTATGGGGGAAAGAAGTTGGACGAATGTCAGCAAGACCACATTAAAAACTTAAATATGTTGATTATGTATTTTCTACTTTTGGTCAATACTTGGTAGAGCACCTTTGCCAGCAATCACAGCTGCAAGTCTTTTTGGATAAGTACAATAGCTATTTTAGGAACAAGTAATAGGTTTATTCCATGCTGAAAAAAAGAAGAAAGAGAACACAACGTTTCGGCCGTGGAGCCTTCTTCAGGTGTGGATAGCTATTTTAGCACACACTGTAAATCCTTGCATACCAGGATAGTATCATTTTTGCTCTCTCTCCTTTGCAAACATGTCAGGTAGGTGCAGGATTTCGGAGGAGACACCTCAGTAAGTCATTGTCCACAGTAAGATGTATATGCTAGTAAGAAAGGGTCAATGTAAGGGAGCATAATGACTATTATAATAACCAGTATTACATGGTGCCCAATTGTGTTAGTAAACAAAGCAGTCACAATGCCAAAGTCATATGTCACTGCCAGGTGGCCCCTCTGAAAATCCTCTCATTGAGTTGTTACAGTACATGCAGTTGAAAGGGTTTGGATTGATCATAACCATAATGATCACTGAAGGTTAACAGCTGAAGGATTGAGATCTGATCTGAGATCCAGTCTATCTTTTCAGCCAAACATCTCAGAATATTCACACACTAAACCGTTTAATACTATGGTTAGCTTATAGCTGAAGATTCTTAATACTAAGCTAGTTCAACATTTTTCCTTATTAAAATGCAGTACCTGAAAAATTTACCAGGATTTTCCACAATGGAGACATTTTAAGTCAGTGGTACAAGGCTTTATTGTAAGTGTAATTATTTTATTCTTATTTCTAAGAATGTCGTTTTATTGCTCTCTACAGCTGGTTTATAACATGTTGTAACTGCATCAGCTCTGTGTTTTATATACAGTATAAACCAAATCATAATGTGAGATGAATTTAGTGGTAGGATGGTGCTGTCAATTCATGGCAGATTTGTAACTCTAATAAATGCAATTAAGGAAATTAATGGATTCTTTGGGCACTGGTGCATGTAATGAGACAGCTGTCTCTCTGATCTGTCCTTGTTGGTTTCAGCTGCTGGAGAGTGGTTTATAAATAAGAAAATAAGTGCAGGCATTCACACATGGGTACAACATAGGGATCATCCAATTTTCTCTCGAAATAGTAAGAGAACATACACTAGGAGACAATGTTTCTTGTCCCTCTGAGACCAGTTTTTTGTTTAGGTTCATGGTTAGTGTCAGCACCTACTGTAGGTCATTGCTGAATGACCTCAGCAATTCAGTTTAGTGTGTACCCATAGACTGACTATACTATATCTTTTGTTATTCCTTAGTGAAAGAAACTAAGACACTTCCAGATTAGTTGGACTGACATGATAACTGAAAACGATAGAAATGTTTAAATATAATGTTACTGTTGTCCAAGTTACCTCACTCTGAGTGTAAACTCTAGGTTTAATTCTCTGGGATTTCAACTGATTATTAATGGTAAAGTTCTTTAAAATTATCTTTTGTATATAAATACATACGGTGGTCAAAATTCACAACGTCTGGATAGCATTTTGGGCCGTTTGCGCTTTTACAAACTACAGGCTTTTATCTATAAGCTTACCGCAGCTGTTGAATGTTTCATTTTCCATAAACTGACATGTTAAGTCTATGTTAAAAAATGTGTTTGTTTTTTTGTTTCATCAAGGCAAGCTTTATGAAGAGCTGAAGTTTGAAAACTCAGCTTTAGTGGGATTAAAGTGCTCTGTAATGGAAATCTTGTTTCCAACGCTTTGAAGTGCAGAATCCAATACCCATTAAATACAAAACCATCACAAGAATATAATCACATTCACAGTACAAACTAAAGTGCTAATTTTGATCTCCTACTACTGATCCCTTGCTATACAAACTGGGCAGTTAAGCGACTTACCAGCTTCCACACAAAGTTTCCCTCTTAAAACTCTTTCAAAACTTTTTCCAAAATCTCTGAAACTCATAAATTTACAAACCCATGGTCAGTGCCTTACTTCTTCCGTCTCCCACTAGTGAGATCCAGGCAGCAGATATCAACTGATGTGCAAACATCATCTTCCTGTTTATATGAATACTCACCTTATCAACGGTCTTCTCCCAACTGGTCAGGTGATTGAGTATGGCGGCTCATCCCCCACAGCATCTTGGGGTAGATTCAGACATGGATCTCCATCTTCTCTGAACCAAACATCCCCTTACAGTAATAAATTGGTAAATGCTGGTTGATGTTTTAACTGTAGATGGTGCCCAAAATTTACAAATCATCGGACAATAACTGGTGCCAGCTGCCTAATTTATAGGCTGGTGTTATCAGTGTCATATTGGTCTATACTCAGTTTAGGCTTTAGGTTTTACCGTTTTGTTTGTATAAGGATGAGATTAAATGGAATTATGTTCCTTCATTATTACTTCATTGCTATCTGCAAAGTCATTTATTAATTAGGATTAATACTAATACTAGTTACTGTGCCTTGAAACAAACTTTTCTAACAAGTCCTACATAATGGGCACAGTAGTGTGCTGCATATAAATATAGAATGATTATTTGCTAGAGTAATAATAGTCGCACACTGTACCATTTTCAAAAGTGCAAATTAATTATTAGTGAATGACAAATGTATGAGGCATAGTGGTACAAAAGCCCAATATGAAAACAAAATGTAAATTATCAGTCATACTGTACATTGACATCAGGGCTCCTTTTCTACTGTACCTTTCATTACAGCCTGCTTGCTTGTTAGTTTTTCATATAAGATATGGCTTTTATATGGCTAAAAGCTTTGGACTTTATTGTCTCTGCTGGTACAAATGATAACAATCTGCACTGACATTACTGCAATATTGGTCATGTAGGAGTACTTGGACCGTGATAAATTAAGTTTATGACCAGACACTCAATATACAAAACTTATTGTTATAGGAATTTACTGTGAGTATTAACTGGTTATCATTTAAATCAGTAATCAACAGTAATCATTTAAAACAGGCTGTCTTGTCTTCTGAAATACACAGTTTGTCGACAGAAATCTCATAGTGCAGCACCTGGACATTTTTTACTAAAATGCATTTCTGGATTTTCCAGTAGTTTGGCTTTGACTTTTTTTATTTATTATACCTTCTCAAGCTGGAGGTTGCTTACATGCAGAGTAATCAGGTTTGTCTTTTGTCCTAACACACATGTGTGATGCAGACACAACCTTGTAAATGTATTCAGACCCTTCCTATGAAATTACAGAATGATGCAAATGCATGTTTTTCAAGTTAATGTTTGATTCAATACCTGAATGTCTTAAGCTGTGGACTTCTAAAGGTAAAATGGAGTACAGTAAACTTCAGCAAAATATGTGAATATTTGGTATATATTTGGAATTTATTTGAATATATAAATAAATATGTGGATTGCATAAGTTTAGGTGAATATTTGGTAGAAGGGGCATAGGCAGCGATTTTTTTTGGATAAGTCTCTAGCAGTACTACACACCAGCTTGGTGTAATTTTTGCACATTCCTCTTGATCTGTCTCTCTCAGGTTGCTTGGGCAGGGCAATGGCAAGTGTAGCTACTCCAGTGTAGCTTTGTACTTTGGATCATTGTCCTGCTGAAATCTGAATCTTTGTCTTACTTTTACGAGTTTAAACCAACAAAATGAGAAAACTGTGCATTCTGTGTCTTATTGAACATGCATGAAGGTAATTGAAAGCACACCAAGGAATCTTGATCATTTAAAAACTCTAATGGTGCTGAAAGAAAATAAGTGTATAGTAAAATATGTCCGTAAAAAACATGTTGTAAACAGCTTCACAAAAACAGAATTCAAACTCTATAGACAACGTGTTAAAAACAAACCAGGATTGATCATAAAACATGTTAAAGAAGGTTTTCTGAGTCCCTTATTTTAATTTATATGCAGGCTATTAATTGATATGCAGTAGCTAAACAACTTGACATTGCATACATGCATGAAGTATAAAAGTGATACAGTTTATACATACAACTTGTAACTTCAAATGTGATAAATATGGGTCTATATTTAAAGCAACGTAAATCTGTAATCAGTTATATTACAGTATATACCACTCATGCTTTCATCTGTATTTTGTATCATGCAATGCCTTTCAGTAAGCCGAGTCTATATTGTAAAACTGCTGGTGATCTGGGAACCTGTTTCGGAATTCAGCGAGATTTCGTTTTCGGGTTCTTTTCTTCGTCTCTGGCGATAGCTGAAACTCTTGAACATCCTTGCGATGTGATGCTTGAAGGAGGCCCCCACAAAGGCATAGATAATGGGGTTCACGCAGCTGTGTAACAGGGCCATGCTCTCTGTGATCTGTGTAGCCATGTCCAGTCTCTTGCTGTCCTCGCACTGGGTGATGAGTATGTAAATGATGTCCATTGCCCGACAGAACTTGATGATGTTGAAAGGGAGCTGGGTGACGATGAACACACCCACAACGACCATCAGCACCTTGAAGGCTTTCCACTTCTTCACATTTGCAGTCTTCCACAGAGCCTGGGACACTTTTGAGTAGCAGAATAGCATGATTAAGAAAGGAATAACAAAGCTGAGCAGGACCTCTAGGATTTCGAGTGTGGCCTTGGCCGGTCGGGCCATGCTGGAGGGATAAACAGATATGCAGATTTTCCTGCTCTGGGGCATCTTAACAGTGGAGAAGATTAATTCAGGGATCCCCAAGATGAATGAAGTTGCCCAAACCAAGAAGCAGATGAACAGGCAGTGATTCGTCTTGATTCTGCCCGTTTTTATGGCCAGGTAACGGTCTACACTGATACACGCTAGAAAGAACATGCCACAGCTGAAGTTCATGACATATAGCATGGAGGTTATCTTGCACATAGTTTCTCCCAGCTTCCAGCCATGAACCGCGTCAGCAGCCCAGAAGGGAAGAGTGAATAGGAGAAGGAGGTCAGCTATGGCTAGGTTGAAGATGTACACATCGGTCATGGTCTTCAGTTTCTTGTAGTAGATGTAAATGGCCACAACCAGGGAGTTCCCTGCGAGACCGATTATCAAAGCCAGGGCATAGATTATGGGTAGAAAGACCTTACCGAAGGTGCGGACCTCCTCTTTATCACAGACGGTGGGGTAGTCAGAATAACTGTAGTTGAAAAAGTCACTCTCATTAAAGATGTCCTCATAGTCATCTTCCTCAGAGAACTCCATTTGGAAAACTATTGAAAAGAACACAGATCCATTTTTTTTAATTCGGTTTATTTTTAAGATTTCTGAAGGAACAGACACCTCATAGGTCTATGAAACCAGATGAAAGTGTTCAAGATACAAACTTTCTTATGTCAAGTACAGTGGTGAGAAAAAGTTTGTAAAACCTTTGGATTTATCTGTGTTCCTGCAGGAATTGCTCCTAACATGTAATCTGATCTTCATCTCTTTTACAATAATAGATAAACACAATCTTGCGCAAACAATTGTTATTTTTCATGTCTATATTGAACACATTGTGGCAGTTTCAGTCAACTAGTTTCTTGTATTTGTTAAATACAGTATTGTAGTAGTGGTAAAAACATCTGTAATCTCATTTCATTTTGGTAGAACATACCAAACATACCATATCATACAGTACAGTTGTGTGTGCAGTTTTGATGTAAAGAAAAGAACATATGCCAGTTTATGTGGTTTTACATTTTTCCCATAATTAGAGTTAGCTTATGGTGCAAGCAACACCTACGTTTTCTCAAATGTTTTAACAACAGACTGTCTAGACTTTTTTATCTCATTAAACCCCATTATTGTAACCACCCTAGACTCAAGCATAAAAGTTATGATGCTCCAGTAACTTTAAAAAGGGCTATAAATTATGTTCAGTAAAATTGTGTTTATAGATTATTTATACTATATATATGGCTTACAGTTTTTTTACTGATTGTTTATTTGAGTTGTTTCACTCTTATTAAATACCTTGGATCATATTTACCAATCAATTTATCATTTGATATTACATTTGTGATTTTATAAATATAATTGTTTAATTACTTCTAATTAAAGTATTCTTTAACTTGAATGCAAAAACATGTCAAATGTTTTATGCTTGTCATTCAACAGCAGGTCAGAAGGTTTCCCATATTTTGTCTAATGCATTAGTCACATTATTTCACAAATACATTTTTGTCTCATATTACTACTTCATTTATATGACTGGAGCATTTAGATGTAGGGTGATTGCAGTTGGTTCGCAATTGCAATATATAACTTGCCTTTAAAAATCAAAGGTAATTGTAAAAAAACATTCATGCTGCTCATTCATCAGTGCACTGATACAGTAAAAATTCAGAATGCGGCCTAAACATAATTTAATATATAAGCATGTACTGTATAATTTATTGGACTTCATCTTTTACATTTACTTGGATTCATTTAATCACTTTGATATTTTAATTACTTTTATTATTAATATAAATTAAATATTATTATTATTTTCTATTGACCTATTTTTTCTTAATATATATAAGCAGATGTATTGTGAAAAGCACATCAACGTAGTTCTGATTTCTACCTGCAGAATGGTCATTTCATTAGGAAGTTATTTAGTGTATAACTCATAATTTCTTTGGATATTATTATTATTTTTAGTATTAAATATTGCAGTGTAAAGCTCCTAAGACTTTCTCTTAAATCAGTAAAAATGGGGTGTTCCATTATTCCATTGTTAAATGTTTTCTGTGAATATACTGTAGTAAAAATGCATTCAACTTATTACTGAGAGATATTAAAATGGAACAAATGCTATTGGTTCCAATACTCATTTCTTGTGCTTTATTGTGTGCAACACAACTACATATAATATAAAGGAACCTGTTTAATCTCTGCACAGTAGAAACATAAGACAGTAGTAGATCAGACAGTAAACACAGCTGAAAAGCATGTTTTCACTGTAGACCATAGTTTATTGAAGGGTATTAAATATTTCCTACAGGTGCTTGTGTGGTTTATTTTAGGAAAAAATACAGTCTATGAGAAACTGAAAAAAATGATTAATTCAGATAGAAATGTTAATTTCAGGAATTTTGCTTAAATCAGTGTTTGAGATTGCACTCTGATAAGAAATGTAGAGTGTGATTGTGAAATTATTTACTCCAGCAGTGAAACAGGATTTGTATTTGATTCATACAGTATCTAGCAAGTTTAACAAAACATTACAACATTGAAGCCATTTTTTTTCAATACAGCACTGTGTTGTGAGTAACACATTTGTGATATTTAATTTGTTATCTTTTCTGTGAACCAGAAATAAATCAGAACATCTGAGAGGAAATAATGAAACAAAACATAGTCCAGTAATGTTGTTAATTCCTTTAGTTATAATTGAATTAATCACAATAAAAAAGTAGTTCTCTAAATTAATACTGCGCTGTAAAGAAACACAAAATAGTAAATTATATATAAATAATATAAAAAGTACATACAACAGCACCATTTAGACTACTTAGAAATAACAATGTGTTATAGCCACTATCAGGAATGACCTTTGTTATAGAATACAAAACAGACTGTTATATAATCTGTGGAAATGGAGCACTAATTATAACTAAAATTGTGAAGTAGTCTGCTTCCATATGTGAGCATATAATTAGTTCTGTAACTATTTCAATTTATCTAATTTTCTGTACATTCTGATTCTAAAATATATAAACATTGCCTTCATTTTCAAGAACTCCTTTGTCCAGAGCAGTCTTGAACAGAATTTAGAAACACCCTTTTCTAAAACAACTAAATTGGAATTGATTTTAATGGAAGAAATAGTGATAACGCATTTACTATTGACACCTTCACAGGAGTTTTATATAAAACAAAATGTTGATGTATCGGCATTTGCGCTCTTTTTTCCTGACTTATTACAAGAATAACTTCCTGCAGCAGGGTAAACGAATTGTTAAATTCCAACATATTTGAATTGCAGTGCCATATGTACATAGGTATAATTAAATTTGTAAGCAAAACATTTGGACATTATTTTGTTAACAACACAAAAACTCTTCCAATAACCCATCTAGCTTGATTTTCTACAGTTATATCCTGTTTAACCTGTTTTGTTTTTGCTGTTATTGAAATAGAAATCTAAAGTTACATTAAAAAAACATCACAACATGCAAATGACAACAATCATTTTTTACTGTTCAACTAGCAAAGCCCTTTAAAATGCAAAATAAAATGTATACCATTATTTGTTAAGCAGAAATATAGATGACCTGTAAATTAGTTCCTCCATTTTATCTTGCCTCTTAGATTTAGATCTCTATCGTATATGATCCATTCTCTGCATTTTGCACTTGTCCATTCATGGATGTATCTTTATATTGGTATAATATAGAAAGATAAAAAGCTGACCCTTAAAGGGCCGATTTTAATACAGATACATGATAACAGTTTATATACAAACATATTAATACATACAGTATACATGTGCTTGCATGAACAAGATGTTTCACAAATCTGATGTAATGGCCTGCCCAGCTTTAATATGAGGAAAATCACCAGCTTACCTTTTTTCTCCCCAGAAGTTTGCAACTCTCACCTTAACAATAGTCTTCTGTTCTGTGTGACTGCAGTGATTAGTCAGAGATTTAAGTTTATCTTTCAAGGGAGTACCTAGTATTACATGCGTCCAAGCGAACGATGTCATTAGCTGAGAGGCTTTTCCCAGGGGTAGGGATAGGGATTGAATTTCAGAATGCAGGAGTTTCCGTGCCTCACTGCTGTCTGCGCTGCTCTGTGCCCTGGCTGGATCAGAAGTCTTTTTGCTTGTCTAGCTGATCACGTTTGTGAAAAGTGACCCAATATAACTGTACACTTAAACAACCAGCCCTATCTTAAAAAAATCCCCTATTCCCCAACAGGTTAATCAATAACTGATGTTACATTTTACCGTAGCAATAGAAATACTGTAAATGTTATCGTTTACACTAACAAGTTCAAAACTGAAACTAAAATACTAATCTGTAATTGTTTTAAAACAAAATGTATGGTATTTCCCATTATATTTAAGGTTACATTTACAATATTAATATACTGTACAGTATATTGTATATACTGTATAACTGAATGCCAGAGGTTCCCCTTCTGTATATTTCTGTATCTTGAAATTATGCTGAAGATTTTCTGACAATTTAAGTGCCATTTTAAAATGTAAAATAACAGCCCTAAATGTAGTGTTGTTTTCCATTATTCTCTTCACGTGTTAGTACCCATTAACAACTGCAGTACATCAGACTTTGTTTGAATCACAAGACCGTTCTATGGTATCATTTAGATGCTGTGTTGGTATTGTCACATACTCTCTGCTTGCAAACTCATCTTATCTTAATACAGTATGGCAGTGGTTGTGTCTTTACCACAGACTATATACTTTCAATTTAAAGAGTCTCAGTGTTATTGTATGACTGGGTAAACTTATGCATCTATGATCCCTTAGTTTACAAAACAGATAGTATGATAGTACGCAATTGCTACAGAGAAGATTTTTAACTCCTTAGAGGCACAACAAAAAAGAGCATAGTTGTGTTTTATAGTATATGCTCTGTGTTATAAGCCATTTATAAATATTTGTGACATTTTTCTGGTTTATGCTGTTTAAGGTTAATGTGTAGAAAGTTCATTTGCATATAATCTGAGATATACCTGCTTCCTTATTGTTATTATCAATATGAGTTATTTTTGTTTTGATTGTGTGTTTTAATAATGCTTCATTACAGATTGCTACAGTTTTAAAAATGATATTGTTTTTGGGGAATCTAGAATATAAAAAATGTGTTTTATCTTTTTTTTAAAAAGAGCATAAGATATCTACCTGGCTCTCCAGCTATCATTTGTATGGCTCTGTAAGAAAAAAAAAACAGTTTCACAATCCCACCTGACAAACTCCAGTGTCCCTTCTGTGAAATAAAATGAAAATTACAACTGTTTACATGGGAAAATACTTATCTTTTCCACACCTTTGTTATATCTGTTAAATTAGCATAATTACACATTTACAATTTATTTTAAATAATAGGCAGCAAATTTAGCAAATTTTACTCTGAAATACAAAAAGGCTTAAAGATCACTCTCCTACTTTCACATACTATATGCATGTTACAACATAGCTGTAATTTATTTTATTGTACATTCTCTTTTTGCTACTTGGATTTTATTTGCTGAAGCAATATATATGAGAATATCTAACTGCAGTATCCCATAGCTGCTTATATACCACAGCTATGATTCTGTTTTTCCACGATAACTTCTTTTAAATTGCATTCAAGTGGAGTTGCCAAAAAGACATGACTACTGTTAGTGAACACTTAAAAAGTGTTTGTGTTTTTGTATATATTTTTTTGGTTATCGATGCTCTGATGTATTATGTCTGCAAAAGAGCTGTAACTGGGTGTGAATACTTCTTTTAGGGCTGAATCGACAAATAAATCATCACAGATAAGATTTGTAAATGATTTTGTGCATACTTGACCTGATTGGCATAATGTTACGATGGCATTTAGATACGTACTGTAGGTGATTAGTTTAAATGAAATTTAACCCCACCACTGCAGCCATCACCATGGTGATAATTACATTCATCACTACAGTTGAAGACTGGATGGTTGAGGAAGTTAAATTGAGAATGTTTCTGGTATTGAAAAGATCCGGTCAGGGCCGGCCCTAGCTTTTTCTGGGCTATAGGCAAGACCTTGGAAAGTGGTCCCTCCAGATCATGATTTGTGCATGCAAAACTATTATCAGCTTGCACCCCAACATTATGTTACTATTTAGAACAATGAAACGAATAATAGAACTAGAACTTTTATTATCTTGCTGTAGAAACAAGAACAAGAAGCACATATTTGCAAAGATAACATGTATTTTAACATTGAAAATAATAAGTGTGACTCTGCTAACTACTAGGTAACTAGTAAAATACCTCAAGTAGTCTGCGTGTCCAGCTAGAAAATGTGGCTTGTCTACCGTTCAGAAGTTACATGGATCTGACAGACTTACAACCAAATGAAATACAAATGGCTTATTACAGTGACTTGATTTTGTCTACCTCTATTTTGAGATAGCTTATCTTGTACTTCTTTTCTGTGCTTCCTTTTCTTGGTTTCCTGATGGGTACAGTATATCCTTCTTGCGGATGACATGTGTTTATACTGTATGTTTCTACCCCATGATTTTAAACCATTACAATACAGTGTACAATGCAAGTGAAAGGTCTCTTGCAATGTTTCATTACATGTTAGATATAACGAAAGATCAATAAAATTGATCACCACGACATTTACTAGTTTCTTAAATGACATGAACAACATTCAGTGTGGTAGCAGCTTAAACTGCACTGATTTTTGTCATCGAACAGCCAAGATCAGTCATTTACTACATACAGACTGACATAACCCACTACACTTTCATTCACAATTAATATAATTTATAAGTAACACACTTTAAAAGCCTAGATTAGCACAGCAGCAACAAAAAGAGCCACTAGAGGGAATGTTTTACTCTTATTTGAATGTGCTTATTAAAAAAAAAAAGTAATGTTCCACATTAAGGGGGTCCCCTAGTGGCCTCAGGGCCCTAGGCAGTGACCCTAGTGCACCTAAGCCAAGGGCCAGACTGGGATCTGGTGTACAGATTTAGCTCCCATTGAGGAAGAGAGCTGGTGTCCCCCTCACTGCTAGCCCATGTGTCTGGCTCTGATGCCTCTTTTCTCTATGACCTACTTTCTATTGACTTATTATCTATGACTTATTTGACGGTTCTATATACATTCTTATTACTTTATACACACAACAAAAAATGTTAGGTTATCTATTGAAAACAGAGTAATAATAATAATAATTGCTTACACTTATATAGCACTTTTCTGGACACTTCACTCAAAGTGCTTTATAGGTAATGGGGACTCCCCTCCACCACCACCAATGTGCAGCATCCACCTGGATGATGCGACGGCAGCCATAGTGCGCCAGAACACTCACCACACATCAGCGATCAGTGGGGAGGAGAGCAGAGTAATGAAGCCAATTTATAGAGGGGGATTGTTAGGAGGCCATGATTGATAAAAGGCCGATGGGAAATTTGGCCAGGACGCCGGGGTTACACCCCTACTCTTTTCAAGAAACACCCTGGGATTGTTAATGACCACAGAGAGTCAGGACCTCGGTTTTACGTCTCATCCGAAGGACGGCACCTGTTTACATTATAGTGTCCCCTTCACTACACTGTGGCATTAGGACCCACATGAGCCGCAGGGTGAGCGCCCTCTGCTGGCCCCACTAACACCTCATTTATTTATTTACCACCATTTATTTGTGGGTGAATTTGGTTCATTGTATCAGCATCAACCAGCATGCTGTCCATTTTTACACCTGTATGTGATTTTCCATAGGCCAAAGCAGAGCGGATGTGCTTACATCATAACTTCTTGGAAATGCTTTGAACCTTGTGAAAGAGGTTTTTGCTCTGTAATGGGAAAAGCAGTTCTAAATAGATTTTTTAAATAAAGAACTGTGCTTTATGGAAAAATAGGGAAAAAATGGAAATTATTCACATTAATACATTTGCCATTATCAACACGGTATCATGATTTGTGATATATAATGTCCAAAGATAGTTGGTTTTTTCACAATTTTGTAAAAGGGATATACTGAAACTTGTTTGTAGGATTCAAAACCTGAGAATTTTTTCCTGATGAATTACTGTAAACATGTTAAGGCATGATCTGTACATAAAATCAGGTTTTGCTTGTTGGAATTACTTTTCAGTTATGTAATGTTGCAAATCCGTGTGATTAAAATGAGTGTAAGCAAAAACTCCAGGAAAATACAATACAAATCACATGTGTGCTATGTTGTATATCAAATTGATTCCGGTGTAAAGTATCGAATAAATATTTAGGATAGTATACAAATTAAATGGAAATTATTATAAATAAGAGACAAAAGAAGACACCCTATACAGTACATGATTTCTAACTTATAACTTTTCCTAAAAAGAAAGTTTTTTCCTGAAGTGCTTCTGTGGCTTCACTTTACTAAAACAGTTTTGGGAGGATTAGTATTGAGACTTCTAATGATTTATACTGCATCATTTTATAATGATCATTATGTTAAGTGTTAGGTTATGTTATGTTAACCCTTATGTTACAGTATGTTAACCCTTTTTCAAAAAGGGTTAAATCTCCTTCAGATTATTTACACAGTCTAAAAGGGAATTTCTAGAGTCTTAATGCACTTAAGATCTCCTTTACTACAGACCTAGAAAAGATTTTCATGAATCTGAAGTGTACTGTAAGTTATAGATGTACCTCTGTAATAATTGTTTATCTAAAATATCCTTGGACTAAATATGTACTATACACTATATACAGTAACTACATATAAGACAACATCTATACATATCAGATAGAACTACTGTATATATCTGGACAGATTCCATGGGGCTAAATTCCGTTATGTTCTAAGATGGTCAGTGAATGGAACTTGATGTTCTGCAAGCTACATCTGTTCTGTAAAATTACTAAAAGGAATTATTTGTAAAACCTGATATCTGAAGTCAGTTTCTATACTTTGTATACATTCTTAACTTTATGTTATTGGTATACGATTCACTTGCATATTTGAAGAAATATTTGGGTTACACTTGTACTTTTTATGACTGATAAAATATGTGTTAATGGTATTTTGTTTTTCTCTAAAATATTGCTGAATCTATAAAGTCGATTGACAGATTGATTGTATGGTCACAATTCTTTTTTGACCAGTCAGATTTGGTAAATACTGCAGA